ATTCCAGATTGGATTCCGTCTGTGTTTCCAGCTGGAATTCCAGCTGGGATTCTGTCCGTGTTTCCAGTTGGAATTCCAGCTGGAACTTCATCCCTGTTTCCATTTGGAATTCCATCTCCATTTCCACTTGGAATTCCATCCCCATTCCCAGCTGGAATTCCAGCTGGGATTCTGTCCGTGTTTCCAGCTGGAACTTCATCCAGCTGGAATTCCATCTGGAATTCCATCCCTGTTTAAAGCTGGAATTCCATCCCCATTCCCAGCTGGAAGTCCAGCTGGGATTCTGTCCGTGTTTCCAGCTGAAACTTCATCCAGCTGGAATTCCATCTCCATTCCCAGGAATTCCATTCCCAGGAATTCCATTCCCAGGAATTCCATTCCCAGGAATTCCATTCCCAGGAATTCCATTCCCAGGAATTCCATTCCCAGGAATTCCATTCCCAGGAATTCCATTCCCAGGAATTCCATTCCCAGGAATTCCATTCCCAGGAATTCCTTCCCCATTCCCAGCATTTTTGGGAATCTCGGAATGGCTCGGGTTGGAAGGATTTGGGTTTTCCATGGAATCTGAGAGGACCAAGAATGGATTTTTCCCTCTTTTTCCCATCCCTGATTTATTGGGAATTGTCTTTTTTGGGATGAGGGGAATTCCTGGATGAATTCCATCTGGAATTAACGGGATTAAAAACCGGGAAAAACGGATTTTCCATCTTTTCCAGCAGAAATTCATGGATTTTTCCAGGATTTTACACCCCCCAAAAAAAATCAAATCCTGGAGAAATCATGGAATCATCGGAAAAAATTCCCAATCCGGGCTGATCCCGCTTCCCAAAATCCCCTTTTCCCTCAGATATCCCAGAAATCCCGGGAAAAACCACCCAAAAATCCGGGAAAAGCGATTCCCAACGGAATTAAAGCACGGAAAAACCGGGATAACCTTTTTTTTTTGGTGGGAAAATTCCCCTTTTCCATGGAATTTTTCTCTTCCCGTTCCCAGTTTCCGACCGGTCCCTCTGGAGCAGACTTACGTGGGAATCACGGAGAAAAAAGCGATCAAGCGTTTCCAGATCATGAACGAGATCGTCTACGAGAAAATCATGGAGCACGCCGGGAAAAATCAGGTTGGAGCGCTCATTCCCAAATTTTTCCTTAATCTTGGGAAAAAAAATGGGATTTTCCCTTTAAAAAATGGGATTTTGCCTTTTTTTTCCTTAATTTTAGGGGGAAAAAATGGGATTTTTCCATTAAAAAATGGGATTTTCCCTTTAAAAAATGGGATTTTGCCTTTTTTTTCCTTAATTTTAGGGGGAAAAAATGGGATTTTTCCATTAAAAAATGGGATTTTCCCTTTAAAAAATGGGATTTTTCCATTTAAAAATGGGATTTTCCCCTTTTTTTCCTTAATTTTAGGGGAAAAAA